CAAAAACAATAGAGGGACTAAACTACATTTCCCAGAGAGCCAAAGTTCAGCCTACAATATCCATCATGCTTTTCTCCTGGTTCATCGGTAACCTGTTTGCTGCATACATTGTTCCAAGAAATGCAGAGAAACTCAGAAAACGTATTTGTGCCGCAGCAAAGGTTTCCATCCACCAGGTTGCCTTGCTGAATCGTAGTTGTTTCAATACTCGCTCGTGGAGGGACTGACCTGTAAGAAAACAAAGGCTGCTCCGCTGGGCCCATGCGCCACGTGACCAACTCGAGTCATGTGACTCCTGAGCCCAGTGGCTTAAGTCTGTTACCCTGACAACTACTGGGAACCTATAGACTTTCCGGAAAAGCGTCGAATTCAGAGGCATGAGGTAAGTGAGGCGTAGACGCTTGCTTCCTTCTGGGATCTCTATCACCCAGATCCGGCTTTATACCCAGTCCTCCAGGCTTTAGTTTCCTGGGTCACTTACCTCTTCCTCCCAGACACCACTACAAATGAGTCTTTGTCTTCCCGCCAACTTCGAAACCCGCGCTTCCCGGAACCGCAAAACTGCCGGATTGACCCTTTCGATGAGATCCACCTCTGACCTTAACGCAACGTGAATTTTATCCGCAATACTTGTGAGGGGAAGGAAGTCTTATTCGACAGGTTAAGCAAGATGTAATTTGGGTCCCCGCATTCTCTACCTCTGCAAAAGAAATCCGGGTTTGATCTCCTTCAAGGAGTGAGAATCCAGAAACCTGAGCAGATCTGAAGCTGTGTTCTTTAAGCAGATGGAAAGAACTTTGCATTGCAAATTTCTGGATTTCAATTTATATGTTCAGTGGATTAGTTTTCCCTGTTTTTCCCCTCCTCCTGAAGAAACGTAATCTTTGCTGATTTGCATCTTCCATTAACTTTATTTTAAATAGATTCTGAGTCGTCTTAATAAATTCCATATCTGTATTTGGAAACATCCCTTATTTGAAAACAGCCTTATATCTTTTTGGATTGATAAACTAACTGAACAGTAAGGTAATAAAAAATTGTTCTGTGCTTTGCAAAAAAAGATAAAACTTCTGTTGGATTTCTATTTTGTACTTTTGCAAAGATTCTTTGTTAGGACCTGATTGTTTGAAGGAAAATAAGTATCCACCCCCTCAAACTACATCTAAACCCCCCTACCCACGCACCCATGCACAAACTAATACATATTTAGGAAGCACTGTAGAATCCATATATAATAACTGGCTGTTGACAGATGAAAATGTAATTCTAGACCTTGAGTACAAAGCATTGTGAAAGCTGCTTTTTGAAATGAGTTTCCTTAATTCTGCATCTCTTGTTCAGCTTACTGATAACTGTATATATGATAAGTCATAAGAGAAATGTGTAAAGTTTAATTCTAGTTGTTTTCATGAAGTGATATGGATAACTTCAAATGATGTGTATATTTCTTGTCATCTAGTGTTTCCAATTTGCAAATACTTTGAAAAGTAGAAATTGTTTATTATGGCTCACTATTCTAAAGAAGAACTAGATGAAGAGTTTGAACAGTTTATGAAAGAGGTAAGTTTATGCTTTCAAAAGCTGTATTGTAAATATGTCTTATAAGATAACTCCATCTTTAGTTACCGCTTCTAACTCTAAGATACAGTGAATTCATCAGCACTTTTGTGATGATGATATAGCTGGTCGTCCTCCAGTTTTCTCCCTATCCACTGCCACCATCCTCCTTTAGGCCGCTACTATCTCACCTGGACTGCTGCAATAGTTTCCAACTGATGTCTCAGCATTCCTGTTACCTCACTGCAGCCAAATTGATCAGATCCAGTCAGTTCCCAGCATAAAATCCTTTCAATAATTAAGTATAAATATGAATACACCTTAAAAGTAAGGATGGTATCCCATCACATGTGGATTAAAATTTAGACTCTTTACCCTGACTTAAGGCGGTCTGGTAGAATAGTGGTTATGAATCAGGCTGCTAACCCCGAGGTCAGCAGTTCGAAACTACCAGCTGTTGCGGGAAAAAGATGAGGCTTTCTGCTCCCATATAGATTTACAGCCTCAGAAACCCTGTATAGGGTCTCTATGAGTTGGAACTGACTCCACGGCACATAACAACAACAACCTTGACTTAGGAAGCCTTGCATGATTTTGCTCATGTCTCATTTATTGACCCACCACTTGTCTGTCATACTGTGATGTCTTGCATGTTGCTGTAATGCTAGAAGCTCTGTCACCGATACTTCATTTCAAAGATGTATTGCATTGGGCAACTCTGCTACAAACCTTAAGACCTCTCTAAAGTATTAAGAGCAAACATGTCTTATCTGAGAACTAACCTGCCACTGACCCTAGCCATGGTATTTTAATCGCCTCAAATGCATGTGAAAGCTAAACAACAAATAAGGAAAACCAGAGAAAAATTAATGCATTTGAATTGTATGTTGATAGAGGATATTGAAAGTGCTATGGACTGCCAGAAGAACAAACAAATCTGTCTAGGAAGACATACAACTGGAATGGTCCTTAGAAGTCAGGATGATGAGTCTTAATAAGCTCATGTACTGTGGACATGTTACCAGGAGGGTCCAGTCGCTGGAAAAGGACATCATGCTTGGGTCAGTTAAAAAGAGGAAGACCTTCAATAAGATGGATTGACACATCGGCTGCAACAATGGGTTTAAACATAGGATGGCACAGGACTAAGAAGTGTTTTGTTCTGTTATATAAAAGTTGCTATGAGTTAGAACTGATTTATTAGTTTTTATCAGCATTTATCAACAACCTCGTAGAATGTATATCACTCTCCCCGCAGCCCCCATCCACTTTACCTATATGCTAGAGTAGCCTTTTTTCTTCCCCATACATGCCAACCTCACTTCCTATTAGGTAATTTGCATTATCTGTACTTTCTGTCAACAATGGTTTCCCCTTATTCTTAACCTGACTGGTAAAGTTCTTATCTTAAATGTACCACTTCTGAGAGAATTTTTCTTGATTATCCAAAAAAATAACCACCAAGCCACTATTTAGTTTGTTGTGTTGCCATAGAGCCAGTATCGACTCATAGCAACCTTATGCACATCACAATGAAACACTGCCCAGTCCTGCCTGAGCCAACCTCACAATTGTTGCCACGCTAGAGCCCATTGATGCTGCCACTTTGCCAATCCATCTCACTGGGGCTCTTCCTCTTTTTCTCTGACCCTCCACCTTATCAAACATGATCTTCTCCAGCAACTTGTCCCTCCTGACAATATGTCCGAAGTATGAGAGACAAAGTTTGGCCATCTTTGGCTCCAAGGAACACTCTGGCTGCACTTCTTCCAACACAGAACTGTTTGTTCTTTTGGCAGCCTGTGACACTTTCAATATTCTCCTCCAACACCGTAACTCAAAAGCATCAATTCTTCTACGTCCTCCTTGTTTGCTGTCCAGCTTTCACATGCATATGAGGTTATTGAAAATGTCATGACTTGGGTTAGGTGCACCTTAGTCCTCAAGCTGACATCTTTGCTCTTCAACACTTTAAAAAGGTCTTGTGCAGCAGATTGCCTAATGCAATACATCATTTGATTTCTTGACTGCTGCTTCCATGAGTGTTTATGGTTTATCTAAGAAGAACGAAGTCCTTGACAATTTGTTATCTTTTCTCCATTGATATGAATGTTGTTTATTGGTCCAGTGGTGAGGATTTTTGTTTTCTTTACATTGAGGTGCAATCCATACCAAAGGCTGTGGTCTTTGATCATCATCAGTAAATATTTTAAGTCCTCTTCACTTTCAGCAAGCAAGATTATATCATCTACATATTGCTGGTTACTAGTAAGTCATCCTCCAATCCTGATGCCACATTTTTCTTCATATAATCCAGCTTCTCAGATTATTTACTCAGCATATTGGTTGAATAAATATAGTGAAAGGATTCAACCTAGTGGCACACCTTTCTTAATTTTAAAACAGTCAGTGTTCCCATGTTCTGTTTGAACAAGTGCCTCCTGGTCCAGGTACAGATTCCTCATGAGCACAGTTAAGTGTTCTGGAATATTCAGTGTTGTCCATAGCTTGTCATGATCCACACAATCAAAAGCCTTTGAGTAGTCAATAAAGCACAGGCAAACATCTTTCTGATATTCTCTGCTTTCAGCCAAGATCCATCAGACATCAGCAGTGATAACCCTCATTCCACGTCCTCTTCTGAATCTGGCTTGAACCTTTGGAAGTTCTCTGTCAATGTATCCTTGCAGCCATTTCTGTATTACCTTTAGTAAAACTTTACTCGCATGGGATATCAAAGATACTGTCCAATGATTTCCACATTCCTTTGAGTCACTTCTCTTTGGAATGGGCACAAATACGATCTCTTCCCATCAGTTGGCCAGATAGCTGTCTTCCAGACTTCTTGGCATAGATGAGTGGGTGCCTCCAGTGCTGCCTCACTTTCTTGAAAGATTTCAATTTTTATTCCATCAATTACTAGTTCTTTGTTCATTCCCAAGTTCTTCAGTATCATTAAGGATATTGAAAGTGCTATGCTACATCTTGAAATGGTTGAACATCGACCATTGCCTTTTGTTACAGTGACTGTCTATATTCCTTCCATCTTCTTTTGGTGCTTTCTGCATCATTCAATAATTTGCCCAGAGAATCCTTCAATAACAAAAGTCAAAGCTTGAATTTTTTCTTCAGTTCCCCCAGCTTGAGAAATGTTGAGCGTGTTCTCCCCTTTTGGTTTTCTGACTCCAGATCTTTGCACATTTCCTTGTAATATTTGACTCTGTCTTCTCCAAGTAACCTTTGAAATTTTCTGTTCAGCTCTTGTACCTCCTCATTCCTCCATTTGCTTTAGCATCTCTACACTGGAAAGCAAGTTTCAATCTCTTCTGACATCTATTTGGATCTTTTCCTTCTTTCTAGTCTTCTCAATGACTTTTGCTTTCTTTGTGTGTGATGTTCTTGATGTCATCCCACAACTCTTCTGGTCTTGGGTCTTTAGTGTTTAATATTAAAAGCTCCATATCATCAACCAAAACAAGGTCAGGGCAGACTGTGGAACAGCCCATCAATTGCTCATATGCATATTCAAACTGAAGCTGAAGAAAATGAAAATAAGTCCACAGAAGCCAAAATATGACATTGAATATATCCTACCTGAATTTAGAAATCATCTTTTTAGTTTACCATGTCTTTATTTCTTTAAATAATACCTAATACCATACATTATTTTTCTCATGGGGTTCTATTTTCTGCCTCCCTTACGAGAATATATAATTAATAAGGTGAAGGGTGTATGTTCATCGCTATTATCTGTAGTATCTAGTAGACAATAATTATTTGCTGAATGAAAAGTCAGAGGGTTACACCGTAGCCTATGTATTTACATAAATGGAGGGACTTTGCAGAGAACTGATGTTGTTAAGTGGTGTGGAGTTGATCTGTACAGGGTTTCTAAAGAGCAGCTGGTAAATTTGAAACTGCTGACCCCATCGTTCACAGTCCAGTGCTTATCTTATAACACCACACCAGGAATGCTGAGAAGACATTTAAAAATAGTCCACTGATATTCCTGCTCATAACAGGAGTTTGTTCTAGTGAAAACAACCTCAGTTTTATTATCTCTAACAGAAAAAATAAGGTGTATATTGTAGAATTGTTATAAGAATTAAACAAGCATCTAGGGCCTACTAGGTGGTCAGGACATCAGTCTCACTTTCCATTTGAATAACTGATCTTTTAAAAGTCAAATGTGGGAACATTTTGAAAATTAAATTTGTATAATGTGTTTTCCTTGTAAAAGTTATATAGCTATAGTAGGCCTTTTGGCAAGATTTTTCCCTTCTGTCACCCACTGGCATCCTTTCAGCTCACAAACACACACTGATTCTCATTCATACTCATATTAGAGATTTGAATAAAACAGGGTTTTATTTTTAAAAAGTAATTTTAGAATTATGCTAACTTAGCCACTTTGATACATCGTTTGTTCAGAGTTTATATTATAACATGTTAAGTGCTGTTGAGTCGGTTCCAACTCATAACGACACTGTGTAGGGTTTCTGAAGCTTTAAATCTTTGTGGGAACAGAAAGCCTCATCTTTCCACCACAAAGCTGTTGGTGAGCTTAAACTGTTGACCTGTGGTTTGCAGTCCAGTGCTTATGGTATGGCACCACCATGCTTCCATTATAACATACATGTATTACTAATTAATGTAAGTCAGTCCTTTGGGAGAATAGTCCTGGATATATGTACAGTAGTGTTCAGGGATGAAGAAATTTGACAGCTATTGTTGTAAAGTACTGTTGAGTCAGCTCCGACTCCTGGAGACCCTGAATACGGTTTCCAAGGAGCAGCTGGTGAGCTTGAATCACCAACCCTGCAGTTTAAATTGACCTCGTGGTCCAGCGCTTACCCTACAGTACACGAGGACTCCCTGCCGAGTGTGCTATTGTATAAAGTTTTGTATTGGCTAACTTGTCTGCATGGTTGGTTGTAAGTCAACATAGTCTCTTGGGACTAATGCATGAGAGTGTGGAACTTAAGTTGAGTCCATATAGTAAGGAACCAAAACATGTGTTTAAGGAGAGTAGTGTAACCAGAGTTTTTATATAGCTGTTTTTGAAATACAATTCACATATCATAAAATTTACCCATTTAAATTATACAACTGGTTTGCTGCATAGCCATAGAGTTTTATAACCCTCACCACAACCAATTTTAGAATGTTTTCATCATAGCAATTAGCAACCCCCTTCCTGTTTCTGGCCTCTTACCACTAGTCTCCTTTGTGTTTTTAAAGATTTCTTCGTTCTGAGTATTTCATAGAAACCAGTCATATACACTATATGACCTTTTGTGACTGACTTCTTTCAATTAGTTTAATGTTTTCAAGATTCATCCTTGATGTAACAGTATGTAACAGTTCTTTGTTTCTTTGGTAACCGAATAACATCTCATTGTTAAGGTACAGAATTGAAATGGGGTAACCAAGAAAATAAGTACCTAGAGAGGTGAGAAGTGACCTTTCTGAAAATTCTTCCTAGAGAGAAATCAAGAATTCTCCCTTCTGAAAAAGGAATGAAAGAAGTGTCTTAAATTTAGTCATAGAATGAGTGGAAAGCAGTTGGTGTTTAACTGAATGCCTTTGTGAAGAGGGAAATCAAGTTACTGGCTGATAATAGATAAGTAGATTGGCATGCTTGTTGTTGTTAAGTGCCATTAGAGTCTTTCCGAGGAGCAGCTTGAGCCACCAACCTCGCAGTGTAAAGCCACCGTGCAGTCCAGCGCGTTAACCCACAGCACCTCACCAGGAACTTAAAATAAGTAGTAAAATTTGGATCTGAAGAGTAGAAGAGACTCTGACAGAGAATTGGTTTAAATAATGTTGTATATATAAGTACACATTAAGTCAGCTGCTTACTCACACACATAAGAACTTATGAGTTTCTTAAAATAGTGTTGATTTTATATGTTTGTAATAAAATGCTGATTCCACTGGTAAGCATTGTCATCCTCTCTACTCCCTGTAATTTTGATCATTTATCCCCCGACCCTACAAAATGTCTATAAGATGGGATTTTTACCTGCTTTTTGTCCTTGTCTCAACTTCTTGCTTGATCAAATTTTGTTTCTGTTGTTGACTCTTACTCTCCCTAGGTGGTGGTGGTTATGTGCCGTGGAGTCGGTTCCAAGTCATAGCTACCCCGTAAAGAGTTTCCGACCCTATAAATATTTACGGGAGCAGAAAGCCTCATCTTTCTCCCGCAGAACATCTGGTAGTTTCGAACTGCTGACCTTGCGGTTCGCAACCCGATTCATAACCACTACACTACCAGACTTCCCTGGGTAGCCTACCTAATTATGGCTATGAAATAGCTATTCAGAGCTATGTGTTTGATATTTAAGTTATATTGTTGTTGTTGTTATATGCCGTGGAGTCGGTTCCAACCCATAGCAACCCTGTACAGGGTTTCCTTAGCTGTAAATCTTTACGGGAGCAGAAAGCCTCCTCTTTCTCCCGCGTAACAGCTGGTTGTTGCGAACTGCTGACCCTGAGATTCACAGCCCGATTCGTAACCACTACACTACCAGACTTCCCTGGGTAGTCTACCTAATTATGGCTATGAAATAGATATTCAGAGCTATATGTTTGATATTTAAGTTATATTAGTCTTATATATATTTACAAATGTTGATGTATACATTGTATAAATTGAGAAGATTATGTATGTATGTGATAGCTGAACTCAGTACTAGTAGAAACATTTTTACTTATAAATTTGGAGTTTTCTAATTTTAAATTAGAAAATGACACTGCAGAATAATGCGCTGGACTGCAAGGTCAGTTTGAATCACAAAATCAGTGGTTCAAACCCACCAGCCACTCTGAGAAAACCCAAACAGGACCAGTATGAGTTGGAACCCACTCAGTGTAACTTAACAACAACAATTTTAAATGTATTTTAAAATTCAACAACTTATATTTGATTTAGCTTTCAGATGATTCTTTTGAAAATTCAAACAAAACACCCAGCCGTACCAAGAAAGAAGAAAAAGATACAGTGCCGTGGTGGAGAATTGAAGATGATTTTGAAGATGGTGGTAAATATTGCTCATCTTTTTTTGTTTCCAATTTTTTGACCACAAGGGGTCAGTAAAGACCTTTAATTCTGCATTCTGTTTCTGCTCAATAAAAATCTTAAAAAAAAAGATACCTCATACTATGGATTCTTGAAGGTTTGAATTGGTTCCATGTGATTTCACTTTATTATGTATATTAGCCAGTTGAGAATCTGTTCTTGCATTATTTGGTTATTTTTCACTGAGATATACATATTTATTAAAATTAAGGTGCTGAATAATGCAAATATATTTATATATTACCATATAGACATAGGAGTTGCGTGGTGCAACAGGATAAAACGCTGGACAACAATGTTGGTTTGAACCCAAAGTTGGCAGTTCAAACCCACCAGCTTCTTGGAAACCCTAGAGACTGACTGAATGGCACTTTACAACAACAGATATAAATGTGATTTAATAAAATACAAGGTGACTTCATAAAATTTGTGGAAAAATTGAATGAAAAGGTAATGAAAATTCCATGAACTTTTTGAAGCCCCCATATTTTTACAATATATTACTGTCATTGCTTAGGGCAGAATTCAACAAATCTGTAGACTTTGATATGACAGCTTCAAACATATTCAGAATAGAAAGAACACCCCCCCCCCCCAATAGGCCCACTGCATAGCTATTATAATTACTGCTTCATGGCCAATCATATTTCATCTGTATCCCTTTCCCTCTCATCACCTTCATTCGATTATAGTGAAGCAAAGCTCCAATAGCATACCCCTTCAGCATGACAAAGTGTATCTCTTAAAGAGGAGGGCTGTCTTCTTAAAACAGAAAGATTACTTAAGAAATAAACATTGACAGTACTTGTATAATATCACGTAATAACTAGTCAGTCATGAAACATTTTTGAAATATTTACAGTATTAGTCTGAAAGGAAAGATTGTGTTAACAATCCTCTGCTCCCCTGATAGTACCCACACATGCTGGAGTGAGGATCACTCCTCTGCTCAGCCAGTGTGCTCAGGGCTTTAGAAAAAAATCACTCGGGAAAACCTTTTAAGTTTTGCTTCTGTTTTCTTGAAATGATATTGACACCAGTAAAAAAATTTTTCTACCATCTTTTAAGGAACCCTGGTGGTGCTCTGGAATAAGCATTGGGCTGCTAATCTCAGGTCAACAGTTCAAAGCTGCCAGCTCTCTGGTAAAGATTTCCAGTCTCGGAAATCCTATATATGGTCACTAGAAGTCAGAATTGAATCAATGTCAATGAATTATTGACCTAAATTGTTCCTACTTTCCATGTATTTTGCTATACTTTTCAGACCAATCACAATACATTTCCAGTAGTAATACAAATTAGGTAACAAAAATGCTTTAAGTAAGAAACAAGAAGAATAAGGCAAAGCCTGTTCTTTAATGTGGTGTTACTGTTGCTGTTAAGTGCCGTCTAATTGGTTCCAACTGTGTAGGGCTTGCCAGTATCAGCTGGAGGTGGTGTTGTTATTAAGTGCTGTTGCATCAGTTCCAAATCGTAACAGCCTTGTATAGAGTTTCTGAGGAACAACTGGTGGGTGTGAACTGCCGACTTTGTGGTTACAGTCCAGTGTTGATCCTACTGTGCCATGCCAGGAGTCCTTATACTGTATAATACTGTAACAAGTAACTATGCTTCAAATGAAGTCTAGTTCATTATGCTACTTTTACAATATTCTATTTAGTAAGATACACTGTACTCAAAGAATCACTTTTGACAGTAGGATAAGCACTGGACTAGTAACCACAAAGTCAGCAGTTCAAACCCACCAGCCACTCTGCAGGAGAATGATGAGGATTTTTACTCCTGTAAAGACTTGCAGCCTCAGAAACCCTATACAGGAATGCTGTGAGTCGGAACCAACTCAACCGTGTTCAACAACAACCTTGTTGTTAAGTGCAGTCAAGTCAGTTCTGACTCATAGTGATCCTGTTTAGGTTAGTAGTTCAGTGCTTATCCTACAATGGCACATCAGGACTCTTAACAACTACTAACTGTAATAAATAATCGTTTTTCTTTTGTAGATTTTAAATATGGATGATTTTTATTGACTAGAGAGCTTTATTTTGTAGCTGCTTTACACAAAAGTACTGTTACTATGTGAGCATGTTGTTGTTAAGTCCCATTGAGTCAGTTCCGATTCATAGTGACCCTGTACAGGGTTTCTGAGGAGTGGCTGGGGAGTTGACCCATCCACCTTCCGGTGGTTAACAGCCCAGTGCTTACTGTACAGCATGGTTAGAATAACTTTCTGAATGTAAATATCTGTTAAATCTGATTCCTAGGACTACTGGGAACAAATGTAAGGTATTTAAAAACAAAGAAGACTTTTGAGCCTATTGCGGAAAAAGAAGAGGAGTCTGCTGAAAAGATAGAACTTCTGAAGAGCAGCGGAACTTCTATCTTAAGTATTGACAGCTTAGAAACAAATGGTAAGAAATGTGACATTAGTTGATAGGTTGTTAATTACTATGGTTACATTCAAGATTTTTAAAAAGTTAACTCTTTATTCTCTGGAACCTCCTCTGCTAAAGCATGAAGGCAGATTTAACGTCTTCCTTTGTTGTTGTTGTTGTTGTTGTTGTTAAGTGCCATCGAGTTGGTTCCAACTCTTAGCAACCCTGTATAGGGTTTTCCGAGGAACGGCTGGTGAGCTTGAACTGCTGACCTTGCAGTTCAAACTGTCTTTGCAGTCCAGTGCTTTAGCCCGTAGTACCAGACCAGGACTCCAATATCTTCCTTAAAGGTTTAAAATTAGGTCTATAGAGAAGACTTACAGATTGATTATGAATATAAGTATGTATTTGGTAGGTAAGAGGAAAGTATCCATTTTTTTAAAAAAAAGATGTTTTATTAACTACAAAGTGTCAATATATGTGTGATGAAAATGAATTTTATCAATGTTCCATATGTTAATGGCATATATTTGTGCTTTCTACCTAGAGTTAGTAGTTTCTGAGCTCAATCATAGTATTCTTGGATTGGGATTGGACACCTTAGAAGAACAAGAAGAGAAAGAGCAATTTTTTGCCAGACTTGAGAAAGGTTTAACATCCTCTATTGATTATTCAAGATTAAATAGAGAATTAGATTCTAATGACTCCACACATTTTAAAGCTCTACTTAGGTATGTAAATATAACATAAACTAATTATTAAAATTAAATGATTTTTGTGTTTTTCCATATTTTGAAAGCTGGTATATACATGGACTTAATGGATAAACATTAACACAGGCAAACATTAAATCTTACTTTTAACTCTGTTCTCTGTTTATTATTTAATCAAGGTTTTTCCTATGTATTAATGGGATATGTTGATTTGTATTTGATAGCCCACTGTGCTTCCAGATATCTGATATCTCATGCCTGAAATAATACTATTAGGAATAATAGCACATTGTCAGCTAGACCTTAATAGGACAGGAATTTATTAAGTCATTTTCCACAACTAAAGAAGCGAGCCCAGAGAGGTATAAATAAAGACAAATAGTAAGGGAAGGGACATCCAAGGAACAAAATCAGGTTTGGTTTTCATCTTGCCTTTGAGAATGATTGACCCTTATGATTACAGGAAACCTCATTTATCCTAGAAATTCTACCAGTTCACTAAACTAGTCCTTTCTAATATAGTAGACCATAGACATTTCAAGACTGAGACCTTTACTTTCCTCAGTTATCCATTTAATTTTTTCTGTAGTAAATGGAAATCAAGTTATAATTTAATTTAGGCTTTTGAGAACATAAAAGTATAATTAACCTAGAGGCAAGGAGGATCATAACTTAATGTTTTGCCCTTACTTAGGAGCTAACCAGTTTATCTGCCTCTTTTATGGATGCTGACAGGAGACATGAGATTCCTTGGTCAAAGACAAAGAGCAGTATTTCTGACAGCAAAAGCAGTACCAGAGTGTCATGGTCATTTGTACTGATTCCCCATGTTCCTAACCCCACAGAGGTAATATAAAGGGTCCCTGATAGATGTCTGAGTATACAGTGGATGATGTTACAGGAGAGGAACACTGAACTTGGGGAATCTACTGCTTTTATCTAAATAGGCAGAAACATTACCTCATCCTTGAAGGTTATTCACTGAATACACCATCTTGAGAAAAGGCCCAGGAAAAAGCAGTCAGGCACTCGAATTCTTGGGTTACCCAATGAGAATACGCAAGGACACTCAGGGTCCTGTGGTGAATTACCTCTTCCAGTAGTGTCAACACAGATTAAGAATGCACAGGTTTATTGGCCATAATCTTACTACTTTTTTGCACAACTCTTATCAGACTTGTCCAAGTACAGCATAGCACTGAGTATGCAATATTTAGTATTTATTGTGACTGCTGTGTTACTTATGTAGTATCTTGGTTGGGTAATGATCTCACTAATACCAGGGTATGACAAGCAGCAAAATGAAACCCATTGCTGTTGAGTCGATTCTGACTCAGAGTGATTCAGCTAGACTGAGTAGCACTGCCCCATAGGGTTTCCAAGGCTGTAAGTCTTTACAGAGATAGATTGTCACTCCTTTTTCCAACAGAATGGCTGATGGATTCAAACCGCCAACCTTTTGTTAGCAGCTGAGTACTTTAACCACTGTGTCACCAGGACCCAAAGTCAGGGTTGGTAGACTGAGAAAGGTATAACTGATTCCTTGGTTTGGGACAAAGCAATAGAGAGACTAATGTATCAAAGAAAATTAAAATTTACGTGAGTTCCTTTGTCTCTTTGTTGAATTTCTTAGTTTAAGGCTCCTATACAGCTGTTGAAGTTGTCAAGGACTTCATTCTTCTTGGATCAACTATCAAAACTCACGGAAGCAGCAGTCAAGAAATCAAACAACATATTGCATTAGGCAAATCTGCTGCACAAGACCTGTTTAGGGTGTTGAAGAGCAAAGATGTCAGCTTGAGTACTAAGATGTATCTGACCCAAGCCATGGTATTTTCAATAACCTCATATGCATGTGAAAGCTGGACAGTGAATAAGGAAGACCGTAGAAGAATTGATGCCTTTGAGTTATGTTGTTGGAGGAGAATACTGAAAGTGCCATGGGCTGCCAAAAGAACCAATAGATCCGTTTTGGAAGAAGTGCAGCCAGAGTGCTCCCTGCAGACCAAGATGGCCAAACTTAGTCTCTCATACTTCGGACATAATGTCGGGAGGTACCAGTCACTCATTGGAGAAGGATATCTTGTTTAGTAAGGTGGAGGGTCAGAGGAAAAGAGGAAGACCCCCAATGAGATGGATTGGCCAAGTGGCAGCATCGATGGACTCAAGCGTGGCAACAGTGGTGAGGTTTGCCCAGGATCAGGCAGTGTTTCTTTCTGCCGTGCATAAGGTCACTATGGGTCGGCACCCAACAACAACAACAACACTGCAGCTGTTTCAGAATTAAGTTGCTGAATAACTAAAGCCAAGCCCACTGCCGTGGAGTTGATTCTGAACTCAGTGACCCTTTAAGACAGAGTGGAACAGCTCTGTAAGTTTTTCCGAGCTGTAAATCTATATGGACGTCGACTACCTCATCTTTCTCATGCAGAGCAGTTAGTGGATTCGAACCACCGACCTTTCAGTTAGCAGCCCACTGCTTAACCCACCGCACCACCAGATAAATTCTTAAATTGCTGAATTGCATGTAAATGCTGACCCTGGTCTTGTTTCTGGCATCCATCAGGATTTTACTAGTTCTCAGAGCTTGTGGTCTGTTCTTACTGTTTCTTAAAGAAATATTTGGATCATAGGATGATATGTGTACATATAAATGTATTTATTTATCTATAACATTGTACCTAAGATTACATTTGCTTCTTTGTATTGCTTTGACAGCTACAATTAGTCTTACACTGTGAAGGGCATTTATTTTCGAAGTATTTCCTGTATAGCACCTAAATATTTAACTTTTGTTAGGAGAAAAAAAATTTTGAGGAGATATGATTTTAGTGATTTTATATATATATTCAGAGAATTCATGAAAATGTGTTAACACATAATGCTTAATAAATTAAATGTCCTTCTAGAAATCAAGCCAATGTAGAATTAACAGGAAATGAACATGACTCTGAATCTATACATGAAGAACTGGCAGGTAATTTTATTGTTTTTTAAATCTATAATATTAATAGAAAAACATTGTTTATAATTTAGGTGATTAAAAACTTTGGTAAGAGAAAAATCATTGAAAGGAGAATTATATCTCTTTGGGCATAGCTTTGAACAGGTAGAGTGGGATTACCTAAACTATAATCTAAAATAGTTAGAAATTGCTAAAGATACACTATTATCTCATTTGTTAGGAGTTGGAGGTTTAAAATGTAAAATTCTTAAAACTAATTAAAAATACAAAACATCAGAAAAAGCCTAAGATAGTCTTATGAATTTAATTGTCATTAACTTTTTTGAAAGCAGTATGTTCTTCTCAAAAGATATATTGTATATTAATGCTGCAATAAATTCTTCCTATGCACACTTTGTTCTTTGGAAATCAACAATTTTTTACTGGAATTTGACCTTTTTTGACTGTATGACCATTGTTTTTTTATCCTATCCTTCAGATATTTATAGTGATGATTTTGAAGATGAGGAGGATACTAATGTACCATTGATTACTAAAGATGAAGAGACTTATTCCAAAGAACATCCCACATCAGAAAAAATAAATGTACCCAAACAGGTAAACATAAGTTAAATATGTTACAGTTTCATCAACATGACTTAAAATGGACATAGTCTGAAATATGGAACTCTTCATAGTCTTGAACAGTGTTACAAAGTTATGCATTTCTTAACATTCAATTTCTTAATTCAAAATGTTTCATATAAAGCTTCATGAAAACTCAAGAAGGCTGATGATTTTGTAACAGAAATTGAAAATTAACAGCTTATATCTAGTTTTTTAAATGAATATTGAGTAATACTTTTCTTATGTAGAACTGTCATTGTGAAGTACAGTAAGTACTTTCTTGATATTTATAAAGATGGCAACATTCTTCTCTGCAGCATAACTTGTTTTGGTAACGTAGTAGTTACAAATCGGGCTGCGAACCTTAAGGTCAGCAGTTCGAAACTACCAGCTGTCCCGCAGGAGAAAGATGAGGCTTTCTGCTCCTGTAAAGATTTACAGCCTCGGAAACCCTGTACAGGGTCGCTGTGACTCCACGGCACATCACCACCACCACCACTACCATATATTGAATGCTACATAGAACTTATCCTTAAATCTATGCAATCGTAGCTAGTAGGCCAGTTACTAGTCTTGGAGTCCTGGTGTGGCGCTATGCGTTAATGCGTTGGACTGCAAAGGTGGTTTGAACCACAAGGTTGGCAGTTCAAGCTCACCAGCTGCTCCTTGGAAACCCTATACAGGGTCACTATGGTTCGGAAGCAACTTGACAGCACTTAACAACAATAAACATATTGGTGTTAATCTGGACATAGTCACTTTGGGGACTGCATGCTGAGACTAGGTGTTTTGAATTTATGTAAAACTGTAGACTTTCTAAATAGAAGAAAGAAAAACTTTCCATGTACAAATAAATGCCCTTATTTTAAATTAACTTTGCCCTTGGGTGTCAATATACTACTTGAGGGCTGGGGTGAGAGAGAGAGGAAGATGACCTGGAAAATAACACCTGACGATGAATGTGACCTGATGAGGATCCTTAGACATTTAATGGGATCTGTGGTCAGCATTGTAGGATAGCAACAGACTGCCACATGCAGGGTCGGCAGTTCAAATCCACCAGCCATTCCTCAGAAACCCTATACAGTGTCTCTGTGAATTGGAACTGACTCAACAGTACTGAACAACAACAATAACATGGTTGGAATACGGCAATTACAGTGTTTTTTTAAACATAAGTTGTTGTTGTTAAGTGCCAAATAGGTCAATAGAAAGTCTAATAGTATAGTGTATTAAGAAAGTATGTTTTAGATGGAACTGTGTCAGCCTAAGTGTGGCGGCCTAATGGACTTCTGGATAAGAATCAACATAGGAAGGAGTTAAAACTCTCTTGTTACTGTGGGAAGCCCTCTAAACTGCATGTCCTAGTAGAGAATCTTGCTGTTATTGTGTGCTGTCACTCAAAACGAGCCTAGTGGCCATGGAAGAACTCCCAGAGAGTTTCCTAGCCCGTGTTCTTCCCAGGAGTACATGCTCATGTCTGTTTTCCACAGAGCTGCTGGTGTTTTCAAATCACAAACTGTTTCAATTAGCAGCAGAGCGCTTAAGTCATGTGCCAACAGGGCTCGTTGTGGAGAATATAGAGATCAAAACACAAACCAAACCCACTGCTATCAAGTGGATTTGAACTCATAGCATCCCTTTAAGACCGAGTAGAACTTTTCTATAGGGTTTTGGAGGCTGTGAATCTATGCAAACATAGATGCCTCATGGTTCTCAACTAATGGATTCCAACTGCTGGCGTTTTGGTTAGCAGTTCAAAACTTAAACCATTGGGTCACCAGGGCTCCTTGTGTGAAGAATATAAACCCAAACCAAAGCCATCAAGTTGATTCCAACTCATAGTGATCCTATATGATCACTATGGAAATCTGGAAATCTTTACAGGAGAGGAAAGCCTCTTCATCTCCTGTGGAGCAGCTGGTGGGTTTGAACTGCCAACCTTGCAGTTAGCAGTCCAGTGCTCTGAGGGTTCTTTATGTGGAGAATATTGTTGTTGTTAAGTGCAATCAAGTCATGTCCAACTCATTGCAATCCTGTATCGGGTTTCTGAGACTTTTTAAACCTTTGCAGGAGCAAAAAGCCTCATCTTTCTCCTGCATGTGGAAATTATACATGATATTAATTTAAAAATGTGTTCTGAGAGAACTTATCATATTGGCAAAGAATATCAACTGTTCTGCTGTTTGCTAGAGGTATAACTTAACCAAGAATTGTAAGTTCTTGGTCTTTTCAAAAATTTTTGTCTCTGAAAACATAGATGAAATAACTAGTACAAGTTATATTTGATTATTAATTTGGAACAATAAGGGAAAAGTACCTGATGATGTTATAATGAAAGAAGCCATTGTTTCTGGAGTTTAAAAATATGAGAAATTGTAATCAATGTAGATGAATAGATAGCACACAGAAACTTTACACAAGCCTTAAACAAACAAACAAAACAGCAAACCTCCTGCCATGAAGTCAATTCTGACTCTTAGTGACCCTGTGGGAGAGAGGAGACCTGCTTCTGAGGGTTTCTGAGACTCAATCTCGCGGAGCAGACAGACTCATCGTTCTCCCACAGAGTGGCTGGTGGGTTGAACTGCCTACCTTGCAGGGGTTAAGACCCGCTGCGCCACTAGGGTTCCACAAGCAAGACTTAGTAAGATCTAAATTAATTATTGGTAATAGCCAAGATTCTGAAGATACTTTTAGATGGCCTCTCAGAGCTACAGTGCTAGAAAATTACTGATGAATGAGAGTCGTTAAAAAAAACCCTACAAAGCACATTTCCTGATCTTTTCATAATGGGTTTCAAATTTTATGTCTGTTTTCATTGTGGGTTTTATTACATAGCTTTGGTTTTAAATCTTATCATCATTTTCTTCTTTTTGTTTAGGAAGAAGAAAAAACTGGCATGCTGGCTAATGGTAAATACTATGTATATTCATATATTTAATTGGCAAAAAAAATCTAGAATTTCATCTCATTAATTCTGAATAAATCACTGTCTTTGTTTTTAAATATCCCTAAGGAATTAAAATTTGCAGCTTTTCTCAATAATGTGTTCCATATGCTCGTCTGGAATCTATTCTGCTGTGTTTGTTTGTGTTTCTCTCTTGTTATTTTTCTTCGGCCCTTTGTCTTTCACATACATTAGATCTGTATAGAAACACAGATGTGTAGGTTTATGTTAACCTACTCTCTTGTATGGAGGAAGGAGAAAACCATGCTTGATAGATGATCATATACTATTACATATAAACATTTATCTTTGTTTTTATATACACTGCATATGATTAAAATAACCTTATTGGAATAATAAAGGAACTCTGGTAGCATAGTGGTTATGAGTTGGGCTGCCATACAGTGGCTGCAATACTGAGCACAAACATAGCAATAATTGTGAGGATGATGTGGGATCAGAAAATTGTTGTTATACATAGAGTCAAGGAGCTCTTGTAGTGGTTACGAGTTGGGCTGTAAACCTCAAGGTCAGCAATTCAAAACTACCAGTGGTTCCATGGGACAAAGATGCACAACCACCACCACCACTATTAAAAAAGCAAGGAGTGGACTGCAAACAAAGTCTACAGTTAGAGCCCACTAGCCACTCCAGGGGAGAAAGATATAGCTTTCTGCTCTCGCAAAGATCCAAAGTCTCAGAACCCTTAGACAGGGTCGCTATGAGTCGAAATTGACTTGCTGGAACTGTTGGCACTGTATGATAAGCACTGGACTGCCAACCATAGGGTTGGTGATTCAAACCCAGCAATCACTTCTTTGAAACTCGAAAGGGTTGTGATGAGTTGGAATCAACTCCATGGCACTTAACGTCAACAACAAAATTAGAATCAAAGAGCCACACACATGTCCTTATATTCCTCATTTTGTTTTCCTTTTATATTCTTCCAGTTGTGCTGCTTGATTCATTAGACTCCATTGAGGAGGTCAACCTTGATAACCAGGATAAAGCAGCAAGTAAGCCAAAGACCCTCCCAGGACCAACTGACCAGGAAATGACAGGAACAGGTAAAGTGCTTCACAAGCTGGCCAGTCTCTAAATACGGAATATTTCTTGGCTAATTGACATAATTTTTAGGGATTTTAGAAACTTACTAATTTTAAACCTAACATTTTTTTACGGTTTAACCATTTAAATGATCTAATCTTGCTAATGATATAACTTAATGCTAGTGGGACAAATCAACAATGTTTTAAAATAAACATTTATTAATGGATGCATACTGGGATGGAAAAAGTAAGCACTGTAGATCAATATTAACTAACGTTCTGTCCTCTCTAGAATATTCAGTTAAATTTGCCATGTGTTGGAGAAATGGAACTTCAGTGTAAGTGTGCATTCCCACAGTTCCCTCTCTGTAGGAAAAAATTAGGTCACATCCCCAAATTCTGGAATGCCTAGGACCAACTTGTTGTTAAGTGCCATGGAGTTAGTTCCAACTCATAGTGACCCTATAAAGCGTGTCCGAGAACCAGCTGGTGGGTTTGAACCACCAACCTTGTAGTTAACAGTCCAGTGCTTGCTCTACAACACCACAACCAACAAGACCAGCTAGACATTTTTATAGGTCTTTAGGGCAAAACCTCTTGATATGTTTTTAAAGTCGTGAGACCCTTAGTCCAATTAAAATAACATACAGAAATCTATATATAGTTTAAAGTGGTATTTTATCAGTATGTGTTTGCATGTATAATACTTAACTTATAAAGTTAGAATAATAATAACTTCTGAAATTGTTCAAATCAGCAGTTAGAGATATTTATTTTGTCATCACTATATTCTATTCTATTTGTATGTTTTTTCTTGTGTAGTATTAAAATTTTTCTTGACTTCATATATACATAGTTGTACATGAAGATTAAGGAGCTCTGGTAGCATAGTGGTTACAAATCAGGCTACAAACCTTAAGGTCAGCAGTTGGAAACTACCAGCTATTCTGCAGGAGAAAGATGAGGCTTTCTGCTCCCATAAAGATTTACAGCCTCGGAAACCCTGTACACGGTTGCTGTGGGTCAGAATCGACTTGACAACACTTAAGAACAACAGCATGAAGATTGTCTAATCAGTATGCCCTCGTGTCTCAGGATACTGGTCAATTAAGCTAATGCAAATGCTTAAAAAAGCATTCGAAAAATGTTCGTTTGAAAGTTAAATCACTAAACGTATCTAAAGACCTGCTTGCATTTTAAAAAAATGAATTGCTGATACAACATAAGCTATAGAAAAGTTTATATATCCTAATAGTATAACTCAATAGATTTTCAAATATTGAACATACCCATGCAACCAATAACCAAATTAAGAAACAAAACATGACCCAAACCGTAGAAACCCCCTCAGCTCTCTTCTTCATAATTATTGGCCTACCTGAGATCTTGACTTGCTGTGTCTGCTTCCATTAATAATATCAAAGTCAAGAAATTAAAATTATAAGAAGCAATTTTCCCACCAAGACATCATCCTAGTGGGTATTCTACCTTGAAGAAAGCATGTGCTGAGCCTTACTGTCTAAGTATTCGAAGCACATATGTTATGATAGCCTACACCATTTACATAGTAAGCAGACGTGAGTTCTTTTTTAAAAACCCAGTATAGCCTACAACTCTCCTAATCAGTGATCTATTACAGAAAGTTCATATACATGTAGGGTGGCCAGAGAAAGTTATAACGTGTGCATGAACCAGCTAAAAGAGAAGGAGGCCAAAGTTACCATCCTGATGGTCCTCAAAATCCTAAGATTACATAAATGGCACAGTTGAGTGTGCAAATTCATTTCCGCTACAGTTTTTTAATCTTAGAAAGTGTAATTTTAAATGACATTTCAATCAAAGCTCTATGGAGCCCATGATTATCTCGAAAAACTGATTTTGCAGAACACAGCGTGAAACCATTGCTGGAGGCTCTGTGAAGAACTCAGTAATAAGAACTGGGTTGCTGAAAGTTAAGAATTCAATTAAGAAGATCCATGTAGTTATATAAAGTTTTTACATTTTATTTCCTTCATGTTCTTGATTCTGAAATGGTTTAATGAGTTGATTACTGGAAGGTAGCGGAACTTGAACTTATTGTCATATAGACTTGGATTCATACCCCCAGTTTTGCCAGTTATTAGTTGTGTGACACCAGACAATTAATACCTCAAAGCCTGTTCCTGCTTTTTTTTAAAATGAAGCCTTATGTTCATCAGTTGATGAGTTCATAGTTAAGATTTAACAAATAACTACAACTCCTGGTATGGTGCTGTAGAGTAAGCACTAGACTGCAAGATCGATTTGAACCGCTAGGTGGGTGGTTCAAACTCACCAGCCTCTCTTCAGAAACCCTGTACAGGGTTGCTGTGAGTCGAACCCACTCAATGGCACTTAACAAACAAGCAACTCCTATGGAGTCCTTGTGTGGTGCTGTTGGATAAGCACTGGACTGCTAACTGCAAAATTGGTGGTAAAGACTCACCAGCAACTCCTCGGAAACCCAATAGAGGGTCACTATGAGTCGGAACTAACTTGATCACGTCTTGCAATAGCAACAACAGAAATTCCAATGGTTGTTATTATCATTATTATTAATATCAACCCTTTTAATGATACAAACTACTAAAAAAGAACCTAAAGGCATACAATCTACACACTTACTGACGGTGGGATGTTTGGATTACAATGAACATTTATAGCCGTCCGTTCTAACAAGGACTAGTGTCATTGTCTCAAACGTAGATTTGACTTACCTAATGAGCATATAGCTGGAGAAGCTGCCAAAAAATTCAGTGATGAGCTAGACATGATAATATTTTGTTATTGTTAAGTGCTGTCAAGTTGGTCCCTACTCTTAGCGACCCTGTGTAGGGTTTTCAAGGAGCGGCTAATGAACTTAAGCCACTAACTCTGTGATCCAAACTGACCTTGAAATCCAGCGCATTAACTTACAGTGCCACACCAGAGGTTGAGTCAGCAATTATTGCTACTAGAATCCCACTTCATACATGCACAGATGTATCCCAAACAAATGTGTTTGAACATGTGTCTTTAATCAGTGGATGGTTGCAGACAAGTTCTCTCAAGTTCTGTCCCTGTGGCAGGAACACTGAATTTAGAACTTGGTATCACCAATGTTGTTAGAGTGCCTTCAAAAAAGATTCCATCAAAACTATGGCTTCCAAGGAGATCTGCTATAAGCCAGTTAAATTCAGGACAGAAAGCTCAGCTCCGAAGATTATGGCAGATGTCCAGATAATCTGCCAGACTAGTAGAGGAGTGACTCCAAGGCCTGGATGAAGATTGTGTTATAAAAAACCTGGTCTTTACATTGTTTTATCTCAAAAGTAAATGCCTGCTACCTTGAAAAGAGCCTTTCTTTCAAGATTTGGATGCTACTTGATCCTGGCCCAGGACATGCTCCTCATGTAGATGATATAAATCAAGGTGTAAAAGTGATATATCTACTTCCCAACATAACAGCTGTGATTCAGGCTATGGATCAAAGTACAATCACTACATTCATGGTATACTACTACAGACTGTTTGCTCAGGCAACAGATGAAGGTACAGTAACAGTACACGATTGAGGAAGAGTTCTAATATTCACCAGTGTATCCGGAACATTGCATCTTCCTGGGAGGAAGTTCTGGGGACATTCCTGCAGGGCTTATGGAAAAACTTACTGAATTATGTGAACACACTTCAGTGTTTGATTGGGATATTTTGATGATGGAAGAGCTCGATAGAAAAACTGCGCATGTGGCAGGAACACTGAATTTAGAACTTGGTATCACCAATGTGAAACAGCTCATGGATCACAAACAATGGGAACTGAGAGATCAGGACCTATGGACTTTGAAGAGAAAAGAAATGCTGCAGAAGAAAGAAAGAAAGAAAGAAAGAGGAGGAAAGACGTCAAAAAGTTGACACTGAAAGTACTAGTTGAATTTTTTTCTAAGCTAAATCGGGGCCTTCAGTTGCTTGAAAACATGGACCCAGACTCTAATCACTTTGTTAAAGTTGATAGGCAGATTCAAGAATTAGTGAGCTGTTACTATGAAGTATATGAAGAAAAAAAGAAAAAGACCCAACTCTCACTGATTTTCTGACTAGAAACCCCATCCCCATTCCCAGGGTGGATAATCCTGATAATCCAGAAACTTTCACCAGTGGCCTTACTACCTCAGCTAACCAACTGCCAGTGATGTCCAAGTCTTCATCATCGGAGTAAATTTGTATTTACAAATACTATTTAATGTACAAATGTTTATTTGTACATTTTTATGTATGCATGTATTACAATATATCTATAGGTTTATATGTGATGACCATGAAAGATAAAAATCAGATTGCTAAAGATGCTAACTATTTGACTTACATCAGAACCCCATTGCAATAAAAACAAAAGTTTTATCAACCAAGTTTCTTCCTGTACTAAGGCTAAATTTAGAGGCTACATTACTTTGTAACCTTATTATTTGTGAAATTCTTTGTGCTTTATTATATTAAGTTATGGTTCTTTAATTCCACTGGTTGGGAAGAGACTAATGACTGAAACAGGCTTTCCTAAACTCAGGCCAGAGCTTCAGCTGCCACACAGCAAGTCTTTCACTTGTTCCCACCGGTCTCACAGAGTTGAAAAATAGACAGAAAGCGTTTTATATGTAGTAATACACGAGAGCTTCAGAAAGTCTGTGGGAAAAAAAGAACTTCAAGATACTGGAATTTTTCGTGAACTTTTTGAAACCCCCTTGTGAAGTAAATCCTTACCTAAAGAGTCCCCTCTTTTTAGTCTGAAAGACTAATAAGTATTTACTTTTTTCTTCTTCTTCCCTCTCTCTCTCTTTTCATAAAAGGCATGAAACAAGTTAACTTAATGACCCTGGAAATGTCTTTAATATCATTTTGATTAATGATTCAAGTTTGGAGAAAAATAATTTTCTCCAGTTATGTTTTCTGACAACCACCTCTACATTCGCTGTTGCTAATTTTCAGCTTTTGTTGTAGTTAACACAGTGATTTTGTTTAGGGTTTCCAAGGAGTGACTGGTGGAGTTGAACCAAAGACCTTGCAGTTAGCAGTCCAGTGCTTATTTTACAGTGCCACACCAGGACTGCATGTTTGCTCTGCTTGCTTTAAACCTTGGAACCTCTTCCTTCTGGTACTTCACACCTATGAAATTAGATATTAGTACTGTTACTCTCTTTACCATTGGATTATTTCTTTTATATATACTCAACAGATACTTAATTATCCTAATATTTCAGAAGAGGAGAAAAACCACCTTGTACCTTTCCTTTTTTCATGAAAACTAAAATTCATCTCTAGTCAGTCATATTACTCTGATGCTGGCTGGTGGTTTAAGGGGAAATTTAGGCTTATCTCAACAGACAAGACCGTTTCCTTCACTTTATTATGAAAAATCACTGCCACTTAACTATTGGCTATTTTGTTCTAACAGTATTCACCACCCCCCTTTACTTTAAGCAAATCTTTTATGTTGGGACATATGCCATATATCAGTTGTGACCTGAAGCATTAGGTAGAAAGACATCCATTGTAAAGCTTTAATGATTGTATATGTGGTTCTCAGCCACATCTTGTGTTTACAGATGAAAATAGACCTCAGTGTCATATACTATACAAAATATAGTTTATAAAACTTGAGGAAGCTGAGGCTATACTGTATGTACCATTTTATTTTATTTTTAACTACTAGTTATTTTAATCATGAGTACTAAGAGAATACTAAGGAGCTCTGGGGTAGCGTAGTGGTTACGAGTTGGGCTGCGAACCGCAAGTTCAGCAGTTCGAAACTACAAGCTGTTCCGCAGGAGAAAGATGAGGCTTTCTGCTCCAGTAAAGGTTTACAGCCTTGGCAACTCTGTAAAGGATCACTGTGAGTTGGAACCAACTCCACAGCACATAACCACCACCACCACTAAGAGAATACTAGTCACCTTATTTCTCTTATTTTCTGCATTCCTCTTCTATCACTCATTCTTTCCTTTAATTTTGAAAATGCCATTATTAATGAAAGTTATAAACCGAGTAAGAAAATGCTCATAAATATCTTAGGTGATTATTTTCATTAGATTCTTCAAATTCTTTTCTAGAAATTGTCCATTGGTGGGGATGAGGTTAAATTAGCTGAAATAGGAAACACTGGTATTAAGACAGATTGTATTGCAGAATATAATGGATTCTGTTGGGGATATGTTAGATACTATATACTTACAGAACATTCTCAATATCAGTCACAGAGTTTGGTAGAAAAGAGATATGGACAAAGACATAGAAATGGTGGTCACCAGCATACAAATCATAGTTGAAGCTAAAGGTGTTAATGAAATCAGCCAGACCAAAACATATGAATTTGGAGGTGATAAACTCCAAAGATGGAGTGCTGAAATGAACCATTTATCATAGGAGTGGTAAAACAAGGAAAAGAATGGATACAGAAGAAAAGGTGTTCCACAGTGCCAAGTTTCTCAGAAGGTTGAAATAGGATGAGAACTAAATACATGGTTGGATTTGACCTGTAGGAAGTTGATTTTACTAAAGCAGCATTAGCAGGATGTTGAAACACCTATTGATTTGCAAAGTCAGAGGGGAGAAAACTGTAGTTGAAGAAAGGCAGGCCATTAAATGGTGGCACTGGGAAGCAGAAAGGCAAAGAAAGAGCATCAATGGTAAGTCAGTGGTAGAATCTTTTAAAGGAATATATTAGTTTGGAAAAATTTAATAGTTTTATCCAAAGCAGAGAGATTAATTAAGAGTGGTAGAAAAAGAAAACAAAAACCAATGGAGTCAATTTGTTAATTGCCTACCACATCAAAGTCATTTGAACAACAAGGTTGGTTCAAATTCACCAGCTGCTCCTCGGAAACCCTATACAGATTCATTGTGGTTCAGAACTGACTCGACAGCTCTTAACAACAACAACAACCACATCAGAATATAGACTATATCAGCTCAACTTGCTGAAAAGAGTTATTGAGCCTGCTGTGATTCCAAACTGGTGCATATTACCTGAGCTTGTGCATAACTCTACTTTTATAATGTCACTATTGTCCTATAAGGAGCCCTGATAACATAATGGATAAACACTCAGCTGCTAATCAGAAGGTCAGAAATTAGAGTCCACCAGCGGTTCCTTTGGAGAGAAAACTTGGTGATCTGCTCCCATAAAGATTACAAACCAGGAAACCCTAGGGGGCATGTTCTGTCCTTTATGGTCTCTTAAGAGTTGAGTGGACCCAGCAGCACACAACAACATTGCCCTACATCCTTGTTGACCATTCGTAGCAGAAAAAGGGGCGATACTAGCGTTTTACATTTCTCATGTACTTGTGATGTCATACCTAGAGTGTACATCAATTCCCACAGGTGTCTCTCATGGGCAAAGCACTAGTGACATTGAAGCCCTCCACCAAGCTTATCGTCATGTAGCCCATTCTCTGGAAGATACAGACGAACAAAGATTTGAGGGTAACGCAGCAGAGAATACCAAGAGCTCAGTGAAAGATCATCCACATGACAATGACGAGGAGTCCTCGAAAAACGTTTCTACAACTGAATCTGGTAAAAGCTTATTAATAGATTTATACATTATTTGTCCATTATTCAAGACCCTCTTGAACAGTTTTCAGTGTAGTATGATTTGAATACAATTTACTATGAGGAGTGTTTCTCAATCTCTGAACTTATTTAAAGAGTATGTTCAAAATGAAATCCAGCATCCATTGTTTTAACTATAAATTTAGAGTCAGACATGAGATCAAATGTCTGCTTCTCCTCCAATAAGCCTTGAGAAAATTTAAGAGTAAGGAAAATAAAGATTAGATTAACAAATCATTTAAGTATTTTCATATTTTTTACTTTGTTGTGTACGTATACACCATATTTTTACACAAATAACATAACCTGCAAACCATATATTTTTACCACTGTGCAACTATTTTTGTAATTCATGCATCATATGTGTAGGTATATTCTTTGCAAAAATACAGTATCACAGTCCTTATTTATAACTAGAAAACGGTATTTTGAATGGTACATACTTAACAAGTATATACGTATATGTACATATATACACACATGTATGTTTCCTGTATATCTATGTCAGTGTATGTATGTATTCACACATATTTGATATACACTTATCAAATAAAATAGCAAAAGAGTTTGCGTAGTACAAGTAAGTTTACAGTGGGAAGCAGGGTTTATTGAACATGCAGTTTTTTTAACTTTCTTAACCAGTGACAGCTGGAGCTAAAATAATGTTAAGTACTTTACATCATTTTGGTTGCTACTGTAACTTTTTTTTCCCTCTTAGATCTGCCTACGGTAGAAGAGTTGATGAAACCTATCAGACTAGGTTCCTTTGGGGTCAGTGCTTTTGATTTACAACCTGTCAGGTATGAGTTTATTAGAATGTATTGTGCCAATTTTAGGGTTAGTTGGTTGACTTTTTATGTGTTTTTGTTTTGTCATTGGAAACTTTTAGAGTATTATGTTCTACATATATTTTTCCAGTGAGTAATTAATAGGTGAAATTAGATTGTTGGAGTTCCTCGTGTGGCACTGTAAGATAAGCACTGGCCTGCTAACCACAAAGTTGTTGGTTCAAACCCACCAGCCACTCCTAGAAACTGTGTACAAGGTCACTTTGAGTTGGAACCAACTCGCTGGCACGTAACAACAACAATATCAGATTCTTGGATGGTGCAACAGGTTAACATGCTCAGCTATAATTAAAAGGTTGGAAGGTCTAGTCTGTGCCTCAGGAGAAAGTCATGGTGATCTGCTTCTGTAAAACTCAACCATTGACCACCCTATGGAGTACAGTTTGACTCTGATACTCATGGGGTGGTCATGAGTCGAAATCGATTCAGTGTCAACTGGTAGTCACTTGTATGAATCCACCTGTGACTCACTGCTTTCTTCTTTTTATATAATCCTTAATCAATATGTCAAAATAATTCTTTTCCTAAAAGAAAAACAAATACATGCTACCAAACAAAGTTGCTGCTGTTTAGCCTTAAAGCTTTTCACTGAAAAAATACAATCTCTGCCGCTTAAAATTGATTCAGATGATGCAAGAGAAGGTGCATGTTTACTCTGTTTATGAGCCATAGATGTAACTCTTTATAAACAAGTTTGTGTGCACTTTGTCACATTCCGTTCGTCATCTCACAGAATGAGTTCTTTGGTTACCAAAGCAATAGGCTGTATGAAAGTGCTCCAGCTGCAGTGCAGTTTTTTAGAAGTTTGTTTCTGTCATCCTCCAGCACAAAGTAGCATATCACAGTCGCTTGTCCCAAACACGCTGTGCATTTGTATAACATGTCACACTCAGTGTTCCACGTAATCCTCTTCACAAGCTGCACAGGCACCTCATGGCTACTCCCAGGGGATGAAACAGAAGCAGACTCGCTTTATTGGTGGGGCTCTCTGAGAACTAGATGACGATGGTGACAGGAAAGCTAACATTCATCACATGCTTGCTGTGAGCCTAGAACTGTGCAGAGGTCTTTGCATATAGTGTCGAGTTTAGCCCTGTGACAGCTCCACAAAATAGAGTTTGTTGTTATTCCCATTGCATGGATAAGAAAACTGAGGCCCGCGGTGGTTAAATAAATTACCCACAGTTTTACAGCTATAATTGAGGAACGCAGTTAATCCATGTGTTTAACCATTTATATTTTCAAATCCATGATCCACATGAAATATTTCTGTAAAATAGCCTATCATTCATTCATGTGTTCAAGCAGCTCTGGTAGCATAGTGGGTTACAAGTTGGACTGCTCACTGCAGGGTCCAGCAGTTCGAATCCGCCAGCCACTCCATAGGAGAAAGATGAGGCTTTCTGCTCCCATAAAGATTTATAGCCTCTCAGAAATCCTATATAGGGTCTCTGTGAGTAGGAGCCAATTTGATACCACCACCACCACCATTTGTGTTGTTGTTATGTGCCATATTCACCTGTTTTATCTTTTCAACAGCCATCTGTTGAGCTCCTCCTACATGACATCCTCATCATGTAAATCCACTTACAGTGAGTGATTCCTTGGCCTTGTTTCTACATATGTTTTACATATGAGAGGAAGCGATGAAGGGAAACCTATACTGAAATCTATTCTACTTGAATGCTAAATGTAGTATTTCTCTCCTGATTTGCAATTCTATTTAATACTTTTCATGGGCAGATTGAGCTTCCTCATCATTGGTGTTTGGAGATATGTTCATGTTTCTAAAGAGATAATTCTTAAACATCTTGCATCTTAAGTAGAACCACTTTAACGATATGAATTCTAAAACAATTTTTCTTTGGCGTTTAAAAGCTAACGTAAATATATTTACATTAAATGCATAGGAATACCTATAGAAATATCAGTTGTTTGAACTTCACTGCACATATCTAAAATATCCTAGCCTGTTACAGATAATCCTTGGAATCTTTAATAGCTTAGTACCATCTAAAATGGTGTATTGCTTGTTGACATCACTATCCCCTGGGAGTCAGCAGGGATGGAGCTCTGCTCCACAGTTATTTAGAGACCCAGGCATCTTCTCTTATCAACATATGGTTTCAAGGTTGCCATGCTTTATCAAGCCAGTCAAGAAGGAAAGTTTCCTTCTGAGTGTTCTCCATATTTTTAACATCTAGCTGTGTAGATGTTGCATTACATTTCACATACTTTTAACCCAAGGAATTGTTCTGTTTCAACACCCTAATGATTTTCTGTCTGTTTTTAATTTGCCTAATATATACTGTGATGACAGTTATACTTTTTAATTTTTATAGTCTATGCTTCATTGGCATAATTGCTTCTTAGTTTCTTCTAGTAATATGTAGAATGTTTTCCCAGTTTCAAATGCATGTTGACTTCATAAGAAATTGTAGATAAAAAATATACTACAAAAAAGTGGATTTATTATTTTTGATAGAAAAACATTCTCAGCTTGTTTGGTTTGGCTTTTCTTTAGAAGAGATCTGAAAGTCCTATAATTCTTTATGTATATACTGCATTGTATAATAACTATGTGAGTATGTTTTGTTCACCAGAATTGTAAATAATGTTTTAGCATCAATAATAGCTATACAAATATGTTTAAAAGACTGATGTTTGAGGGGTCACGTGATTTAGGGTCCACTCTTCTATGTCCTGTTTTGTTTTATAGCTCTAAGAAACTGGCTGATAAAGAGACTAAATCTGTTAGCCCTGTGCTTAAGGCAAACTCAGATCTACCTTTTGAAGAGCCACATCATGTGAACAATTTTTTTGTCAAAAGTGAAGAGAATGTAACTTTACAAAAGACAGCAAGTGAAGGTGTAGAAAGTAGCTGTCCAAGAGTAAATGCTATAGAAGAGCACATAGATAAAATATACCTTGATATTTTGAGGGAAAAACTATCTGTGGATCCTTCATTATTACCTCAGGATGACAAAATTAATAAAGTAAGTATTTATAATATAAATTGATTTGATATAATGAGAAGCTATGTTAACCTCCACAGTCGGAACAGTATGTACTAGGACACCCTCACATTCCCAAATTCAAGACTACCACTATAACATTAGCTTTCTCTGAGAAACCTTTCTTTACAGTTTTTTTTTCTTTAGTAAGCATAGACTAGAATTTGAATAGTATAAGAAAAGAAAATGTGCTCATCATTGTAGTGCTTGTTATTCAATGTAGTTTCCATTAGTCTGCAAGAGTACGATGGCATGTTATATGATTGCTTTTAGCAACTGTGAAGAAACTTATATTTCGCTGTTTCTTTTTCTTTAGTCCTGATAGTTTTGGTGATCCCAATATTCAGTATTGAATTACGTGTTTGCCATAAGTCATGTCCGGATTCTTTATAGAATAAGGCAGGATACTAATAGTTTTTAAATGGAATAAGACAGGGATTTTAAGACAGCTTGAGAAGTCTGGACAAAAAAAGATGATATTGTAAGTAATTCTGAAATAGTTTCTCCTCCATGTTCATTTTAGTAATTATCCATTTGTTTTCTGGCAAACTTATTTTGTTTTGTAATTTTCTTTGCTTTGTTTTAATGCTTATTTTGTTATATAATTGTATTTTCTTTGCTTTAAAGCTTATTTTGGAAGTGTGCTTTAAAGTACTGAAATTCCACTGACTTAAAGGAACTTACTGTGGTGGTTTTCCTTCTGTATACTGTATTATTTATTGCCAATGCAGTTTTACCAACTGTTAACATCTTCCTTGCCAACTATAATTGAAATTCATTTAAATGCTAAAGAGGCCTTCCTTGTTGTGTACAGAATGTGAGTGCTGAGCTTGATGGTTTTGGAGGAGAAGAGGCTGTCATTGGTAAGAAAGTACTGGAAAAAAAGGCTAAGAGTGCACCTCCTTTGCTCAGAAGAAAACCCCAGAGGGGATTATGTACATCAGTTAGGAGCTCCGGCTGTGGCAAACCCAATTCACCATTCAAGACGTTTTCTACTCTTGAAAAGAAAACTTCAAAGGACATTAAAAAGAACAAAAATTTGAGACCCATCCCCACCTCAAATCAAGCTAGGAAAAAAGGTAATCATATATTCTTTTCATAGAATTTTGATAGTGCCATTATACCAATACTGAAAAATAATTACTTAAGAAATCTGTTAGCCTGCAGAGAGAAATCAAAAGGACAGATTCAGGAAGGAGACATTGTAGCACATAAAGAGTGGCAGATTACAGCTACGAATTGGCACCACCTGTCAGTTAGCTGCTAGGTCCTAAAGAGAAGCATGTTAGTAGATCACACCCCATTCATTGACCTTCCTGTAAGTTGATAGATTAATGCTTTCTGCTATTGGAATAATTTTGTATGAATGTTTAAAAAGTTGATTTGAAATATTTTAAGAAATTTATCTTAAAAAAATTAGTTTTATCAAATAAACCAGTTAAGTATGATTACAACTCTTAAGGAAAACCTCTCCATTCCCATACCTACAAAAACAAAGACTGAAAAGAAACGTTTGGTGAAGGACTATTGGTGGCTTGTTCTTCGTTTGATTTTTCTGTGTTTTCAAAGCACTATATTTTTAGTAATATAAATAAACTTTACATTTTAGAAGTTCTCTTTTTGAGGAAATTGTCTTAAAAATACAAAATTTGAAGATCTCATCTGTAAGGCTAAGGCAAACAGATATTTATTGAATATTCCAATCAGGACCTAAAGTATTTTTGTATGTCTCGTAAGGTCTTATCTAACATTCTTTATTACTAAATGAATAGCACATTAGCCTTAGAATTATCTGTACTGTTTTGGATATTTATGAAATATGTTGAAAACTTAACCAGAATATACACTAATCACATGTTTTATAGTTTATTATATATTCCCAGAGTATTATAGCGATATTGCTATTTAATTTTTATATTAGAGTTGCTGTTAAGTGTCACTGAGTCGGTTTCGACCCATACCAACCCTGTTTCGACCCATACCAACCCTGTATAGGGCTTCCAAGGAGCAGCTGGTGAGCTTGAACCACTGACCTTGTGGTTCAAACCAACTCTGTAACCCAGAGCTACATCAGGACTCCTGAAGTTTAGAGTAGCTGTAAATAAAGTCTCTCTGCAATTTGTATTCCATTAATCTCATATCTCGATAGATATACATTGTTGAAAGAGATTGTGCTTTAAAAGAACACTGCATCTGAACTAAAATGCTTCGGAAAGTTATCAGCTACTTTTGATGTTATATTTAGAAATGCTATTTACTGCTGTGAGCATTTGAAAGAATAATTTCTTTAAAGTAATAAAGCCTGAGGTTATCCCAGTCCACACCCTCCTCACACTGACATAGTTCCCCATGTCATGGGATAGTCCTGGTGCAGGTAGGTGTCTCTGTCAAATGGAATAGAATGGTGATCATGGATGGCAGTTCTCTTGGCAGTTAACACAGTGAACAGCTGTGCTTTGTGTTTGGCATCAACCTGTTGTAAGATCTTCATTGTATCTTCCTGTTTCCATTCTATTGGCACTTTATTGTTACTTAATTGCTGAATACACATTCCACTTTGTTTTCATTTATGGTGCTTTTACCCAATATTTATAATATTTAGAAACCTTACCTGGAACAAAAGTCATCAAGCCTGCAGCTTTGGGGACACCAGCTCCCAAAACGGAAAGTTTCTTGGATGTGCCTAATAAGTCTAAGGATCCTACACAAACTAATACCTGGGTTCAGTTTCCAAATGTACGTATTGAATTTCAGATGAATATGCAGAATTCTTTTCATGTTTTAAAATTGTGTTTAAGTGAAATTATGATTAATGAAATGCAACAAATATATCAAATTTCTATAGTCACTGTTATGAACCTCTATTGCTTTTCTTATAATTGTTGTTGTTAATTGCTGTCAAGTGGATTCTGACCCATAGCAACCCTGTATAGGATTTCCGAGGAGCAGCTGGTGAGTTTGAACCACCAATCTTGCAGTTCAAACGGCTTCACAGTCTAGCACATTAACTCACAGCACCACACTAGGGCTCCTTTCTTATAATTGGTGGTGGTGGTTATGTACTGTAGAGTTGGTTCCAACTCATAGTGACCCTGTACAGGATTTCCAAGACTGTAAATATGTACGGGAGCTGAAAGCCTCATCTTTCTCCCGCGGAACAGCTGGCAGTTTCAAACTTCTGACCTAAAGGTTCGCAGCCCAATTTGTAACCACAATTAGAACATCCTTAATTGTGTCATTTGGGGTGGGGGGGTAAGAATAACCTGTGTTTGAATGTTAATCTACTACAATGAAGTAATGCCTTTGCTTAAAAGGACTCTTCAGGATACCCTGGTGGGAACAAGGAGACAGAATTATTTATGTTTAAAAGAGTTCAGGAAGCAGAGGAAAAATGGAGGGGTGCACAAGCCTTGATTGAGCAAATTAAAGTCACATTCTCAGATAAAGAAAGGAAATTGGAAAATAAGATGCAAGAACTAAAGAGACAGCAGGAAAAAGAACTCTTCAAACTAAATCAAGACAATTATATTCTTCAAGCAAAGGTACTAGACATATTGTTCTGTTTTTTGCTGGTTTCTTTTTTTCATTAAAAAAGGCTCTGTACTCCTGTTATATTCACTGTCATCCTTCTGTTCCCTTGACATATTTGTTTTATAAAATAGAGACATGAATTTGAGAGTGCTGCCTTACGTGACAGTCCAAATTGAACCCCATGGGGAAAACATCTCAATTTAAATTGGCTCATTTTGATAGTATTCTTAGGTTAGCATGCTTTTTTAAATCAAGTTTCTTAGTTCATTGTGACCTTCCAAGAAAAAAAAGATTTCAGAAGAAACTGTTATAAAAGGTCTAGACTCAGAGAATGATCCTGTGTAGCTTTTTTTAGTTACTTCCTTAAGTGAGTCATCAGCACAAAGCATCACAATACTGATTAACTGTAGTTGGCTCACATGAAATTCTAATATTCTAGTAATAATTTAGTGGATATTGTTATAAGACAGTATTCCATCTATACACCTTGAGTTTTCTGTTCACTTCATTTCCTTCCCCAAATAAAACAATATCTTCATTTTCTCCAAGTTAAGTAGCTTTGAAGAAGCAAACAAAAAACAAAGGTGGCTACACATTGGAGAAACAGCTGGGCCTTTCACCGAAGAAAAATTGAAGCAAATCCAAAAAGAAATACAAGAACAAGAGACACTTCTTCAAGGATATCAACAGGTATGTCTAAGTCTTCACTACATTGTGAACGTATTCATGAGTTCCTTTCATTATAAAAACTTGCTGTTGTTGTTGTTAGGTGCCATCAAGTCGGCACATCTCATAGCGACCTTATGCACAGCAGAACGAAACAATGTCTGATCCTGGGCCAACCTCACAACTGTTGCCACACTTGAGTCCATCAATGCTGCCACCTGGCCAATCCATCTCATTGGGGGTCTTCCTCTTTTTCTCCGACCCTCCATCTTACCAAGCATGAAAAACTAGGCATATTAAAATATTGCTGTTTGTTTTATAGGAAATGGGAGTTCTGGCAAATAGGAGAAAGTAATCATATAACTTAGTCCACACATTTCTCATAGTAGGAATTAAAGCTGTTATGAGCTTGGATTCTGGAATCAAAGAATCTGGTTTTGAGTCTTAGTTCCATCACTTGCTGTGTGGCCATGGACAGGTTACTTCACCTTTCTAAGACCGTGTCCTTACCTGTGAAATAGTACCTCCCTCTTAATGTAGGTGTGAAATTAAAATAAAACAGGGAAAATGAACCTCTTAGCAAGTGCCTGGCACACAGTAACTAATCAGTTAATGCTACCTGTTCTTTTTTAATACCCATGCTTCTTAGAAACTTGCCTAGTTTTCTAAAATGCTTTTTAATAGATAATATTACTTAGTTTTAACATTATATTCAGGAGTAGGAATCTGAAATCAATTGCTAGTACCCTGGCATTGGAAAAACAAAGAATTAAATGCAAAACTCTGGTGCCTACAAGGTAGGCGTTTGTGATGTGTGGTGGAATCTCAGTGATGTGAGCTAACAGTTAGGACCGGGTTTAGTGGTCTCAGTTTTAGACTTCCCCTCAGTTGCCTAATCCCACTCCCTCCCCTTCTTGACACGTTTTTCACTTTTGACAACAAGTCTTGCCATCCAGTGACAGGCAGGAAAGCATTGCCACATCTGTGACCGTTGCATTTGCTGTGAATGAAATTGCACCGCAGTCCCGGCAGAATGCACTCCCTCACGCAGCTCACTGCCATCAAGTCAGTTCTGACTCAGGTCAACCCAATAGGACAACGTAGAGCTGCTCCAGAGATTTTCCAAGACTGTAAATCTTTTCAGGACCACACAGTCTCATCTTTTTCCCATAGAATCACTGGTGGGTTTGAACAGCCAACCTTGCAGTGGGCAGCCCAACACGTAACCTGTGCTGGTAGGATTCCCTTACGTTGCCCTTGAGTTAGTGAAAACTTTCAGACCTTTGGCCTGCCATTCTGATCTTGCCATGTAGAGCAAGTGTTTTTAAAAGGAGGATTTCACAGATGCATAGATATGCCATCCACCCACTCCCACAAAGGTAGTACAAAATTTATATATATAAATATTTTCCTGACGTTTGTTGATTCTGCAGATATTTAAGCACACTGTGTACTAGACACTATACCAGACATGGATGAGTTTTTATTAGATCCTGAAAGATCATTGGTTTCATCAGATTGTTTTTAAAGAGGTTAATGTTGTTGTTGAGTGCTGTCGAGTCAGTTGTAACTCATATCAACTCTGTAAGAGTCCCAAAGAGTGGGTTTGAAGCACCAACCTTGAGGTTAGTCAGTGCTTATCCTGCAGTAAGCACAGCAAGACTCCAGAGAGGTTAATAAGCCAGAGCAATTAGCACATGATCCAGCCATTCATTCTTTTTTATTAAAATATAAAGCCTCTTTGAGAATAACTATTAACATTATTTAAAGAACAATCATTTCATTTTACATACTAACATGAAGAGAAAAAACATTTTTAAGGATATACCGTCTCCCTATGATCTCATCTGTTTGAGCTACTTTTTAACTCAAGCTGCACAATGAACTGGATCTAGTAACTGTCTTCATCTGGCGGGAAACACCAGACATGAACATTCAATGTGACTAAATATAGTTACCTCATCGCTGAAAGGAGTCCTGATGTGGCACTGTAGGATAAGCACTGCAGTGCTAACTGCAAGGTTGGTGGTTCAAACCCACCAGCTGCTCCTTGGAGACCCTACACAGGTCGCTATGAATCAGAACTGACATGACGGTACTTAACAACAGCACTGAAAGTCATGCTTCTAGAATGCCCCCCCAGCCACAATTTTTCTTTTTCAAGCTGGACACACACAATAAGGATGTAAAAGGTCTCGCTGAGCCTTTCCACCTACTCCACACAATCAGATATGGTTATTACTGCAGCCAGTCACCCATTTATTTCTGCAAAATCCAGTGTAGTATACTTACTTGGGATTGTGCTTTGGGAGTTTTTACAACTTTTTTATTTTTTTAACAATTTGGAGAGAATCATTTTTAGATGCCAGATGTTCTCTTGAAGATGATATGTGTTTTATTTGCTCCAACACTGAAGAAATAGACAAGATGTTTAAATGTCTAAAGGACTTACCTGTTGTGATGCTATGTTGCATAAGTACCACTGACTTGTAACTGAAAGGTCATTTTCTGTTTTAAAAAAAGGAAAATGAAAGATTGTATAATCAAGTGAAAGATCTCCAAGAACAAAACAAGAGAAATGAGGAACAAATGTTTAAGGAAAACCAGAGTTTATTGAATGAGTTAGCTTCCTTAAAGTAAGTCTCTTTTAACTTCTTGATATCAAATATATTTAGAATAATTCTAAGCCTTGCAATATTGCATTAATAACAAGTTTTATTTTGAATGAAAAACACTTGTACTCAGATATACAGCTTTACAGTTTGTAGTTTTAATTTTCAGTTCATTTTTCTTTTGTTGTTAAGTGCTGTCAAGTCAGTTCTGACTCATAGTGACCCTGTACTGGGTTTCTAAGGCTGTATATCTTTGCGGGAGCAGAAAGCCTCATCTTTCTCCCATGGAGTAACTGGTGGTAGGCTCAAACTGGCAACCTGTTCACAATCCAGTGCTTGTCCTCTAGAGGAGGAGTGGGGAGCCTTTTTCTGTCAAAATTTATAGCATCATTCTCGAGCCATACAACATCATCAACTTAAAAATTAGCCTGCTAAATTTGGCCAAACATTTAACTCACCCCTAATATGATGGCTGAGGCACTGGCGTGATGCTTTGGGTTAATTCACTGGACTGCAAGGTCAGTCTGAACCACAAACTCTATGGTTCAGGCTCACCAGCCACTCCTCAGAAATCCTATACAGGGTTGCTATGAGTTGGAACTGATTCGACAGCAGTTAACAACAGCAATAATGTGATGGCTGGCACTGCGGTTGCCTTGGCAGGGCCAGACCAAATGATTTTGTTGGCCTTATATGGGCATGTTCATATTTAAGTTATCACTCTCAGAAAAGTGAGTATATAGTATTGGTCTTGAGCAAACATTAAGCCTGAGACATGTAAACATTTCCTAAGAAACCATGTGGTGAGCAGTAGTTAAAAGGAATACCATGTGTTTATTAACTTATTGTATTGGCGTCCTGGTGTGGTGCTATGGGTTAATACACTGGACTGCAAAGTTGTTCGAACTGCAAGGCTGGTGGTTCAAGCTCACCAGCTGCTCCTTGTAAACCCCATGCAGGGTCACTATGGGTCAGAACCAACTCGACGGCACTTAACAACAGCAACAACTTACTGTATTAGATCAGGTCCTAGAAGCAGAGCCTGAGGTAGGGATCCTTGTGGAAGAGAATGGAAGAGTTCTTCCACAGGGGAGCAAGAGAAGCAGGATAGGGCAAGGAAAAAGCCAGACAAGAATGTAGTCTCGCTTGAGACTGGCTTCTTTTTGCTGCTATGAGGATGCTCTGGAGAACAGATTGCACTACAGGGTTCTTCCCCACTTGACGTAAGGGCAACATTTTGTACACTGAGCCAGTCAGTCACTGGCTGAGATGTGCCTCCTAAAGGGGGTGGACAATATCGTCCTGGGCTGGGATGTGCAAGAGCTCCTGTCTGGCTGAGGGCATTTCCCTAGAGAAACGATAACCTGTGATATGCTGCCACCAACTCTTGTTGCAGCAGAAGAATGGAGTACTAGTACCCACTTAGGCATCATGGCTCCTACTCCAAAGGTGTTCTGGAATAGCTCCTACTTCAATATGTTAAGCGGAGTAAGTAAGCAGAGCTCACACACATGTGGAAGCTAGGATACTATATTTGTTAGAAAATGACAAAATGTGTAGTATTCCACATAAGCATCGAGTCACAGATTGGAATGCTACCAAGAGAAGCTTCTTTTTTTCCCAGTTCATACATGCACAAGTTTATTCCAAATAGCACATTTCAACATGTCTCCATCAGTAGATGTCTGCAGACAATTTCTCTTAGTAATACACTTGTCTTTGTCTCATTGTTGCTATTGTTGTTAGTGTCATCAAGTCAGTTCAGATTCAGTGACCCTGTGTAGGGTTTTTGAGGAACAGATGGTGAGCTTGAACTGCCAGTTTTGAAGTTGAAACCAACCTTGCAGTCCAGCACATAAACCCACAGTGCCACACACCAGGACTCCAGGAATCCATTAAGAGTGCCTTAAAAAAAAAAAAAAAAAAAATGGGAGGCAGGGGGCAGGACACACTTTTTGTGTCACGGATAAATGATTTTGAGATTAAAAAAAAATGTGTGGAAAAATCCATTATCTAGTAATTCCATTTTTCTATATATTTTGTGAAGCCCCCTTGTAGTTGTCTTTCAGTATTTAACCTGTAACCTACTGCCATCATGTAGATTCTGACTCCTAACAACCCTAAATTAGGTTTCCGAGGCTGTAAATCTTTACAGGAGCAGAAAGCCATGTCTTTCTTCCTCCGAACTCCTGGTGGATTCAAACTGCTGACCAGTGCTATCCGACAGCACCACAGGGGCACCTTAGTTTTCATCTTTAAATACAATGTTTGTCTTTATTGCCTCTCATATCAATGCCCATTAGAGTTTTTAATTTTTAAGAAGTATTTTATACTAAGTGAAGTGTATTGTTAAAGCATCTTTTGTTTTCAAAATCAGAGAGCAAATGCAGAAAAATCGTTTCCTGTCTCGAGTAGTTGAAGACTCAGAGACCACCAGAAACCAGAGTTTTACAGACCTGCTGGCGGAACTCCGGATGGCACAGGTAAGTTACATAAGTTTTTAACTATTACGGATAATAGAGATCATTATAAAAATCCCTAGAGTGTGAAAAATCTGTTTTTTGTAATTTATGATTACAATTTGACTTTAAATTTCATATCATTTCAAAATTTAGCTGAAGTATCTAAGGTTAGATTTTAGTGTATATGGCCATAAAATACTAAATTAAATAATTTACTTATTATAGTATATTATTGTGAAGTGCCATCGAGGCAATTCTGACTCATAGGGATCCTGTATAAGGTTCCCGAGGAGCAGCTGGTGGGTTTGAACTGCTGACTTTGCAGTTAGAAGTCAAGTGTTTATCCTACAGCTCCACACCAAGAGTCCATTGCTGTACATATGTGACTTTAATAAAGATGAGAAACTTTCTGATAGTGAGTTTAGATGGTATCTTCATAATCCAGCCTGCCATCAAGAATTTCTTACTGCAGGTATGTAGGAGGCATAACCTTATTTATGGGTGATTTATATATACCTTATTTCAAGAAGTCCTGGTGGTGCTATGGGTTGGGTACTAGACTGCTAGCTGCCAGGTTGGCAGTTCAAATCCACCAGCTACTCCTTGAGAGAAAAATACTGGTGTCAACTCACGTGAAGATATACAGTCTCAGAAATCGTATATAGTTTTGCTTTGAATTAGAATTGACGTGGTGGCAGTGGGCTTTATACCTTATTTTAAGTAAATTCTTTAGGCAATGCTCAGCTACAATAGGAAAAAAACAATTGGAGATGATTATTCACCTTTAAAAGTTAGTTGGATTATACCTGTCTTTCTAAGTGAATTGTGCACCTCTAGGGGCCGCAGTGAGGCTATGTCTTATAGTATGTGTAAGGATAACGTGCCACCTAACACAAGGGTGTGCTATAACAGCTGCTCCATAACTTTAAAATTTTTATTTTGAAGTATAGAATTTGCCGTAGAATTTTCTGAAGCGATATTTATCAGTCTTAGAATTTGTGACCGGTTAATTCTGTCTGAGGCATCACCATCCCTAGGGACTATGTGCTAGTAGCACTCATCAGTCGTGCTCTGGAACATTCCAGTCTGCTCTGGAAGGTAGTTACATCGCTCCACTCCCCTCTCATTTAAGACGACAGTACCAAAGTAAAACAGGTTATTCTTTTTGGATAATTATGAAAATTATTAAAATTCCAAATGTACACCACTTTTTATCACTAGATGTGTTATATAAAATTAGCTTACATACATATCATTTTAAAAACTAATGTATAACTAGATTTTATAGTATATATAGTATATCTTATATGAATCAACTAAGAAACTTTATCAATATGTATTTAGAAGAATCTTGATTGAAATTTTGGGGCACAGAATTTCACATTCTTAAGGAGCCCAAACTTTATGGAGCCATTGAGGCCAGATGATACCCCCCTCCCCTCCGCCTACCTCCAACTATTATCCTAAGGAAATCTTTGAACCTTGAATGAAACTGTCACCTAAAGTCATCTTTGAAGCAAATCACAGCTTAGTCTAATTAGACAAAGTATTCATTAGCATGATATTCCATTAAATGATTACTATAAAGATACTGTGGAGTAGGTTCTGACTCCTAACAGCTCCACGTACAACAGAACACTACCCGGTCCTGCGCCTTCCTCACAACTCTTGCAATGTTTGAGTCTACTATTGCAATGTGGGTTAGAACCGACTCTACGGTACTTAACAAGAACAACACCATTTTGAATATATGTAAAGAGTGATTAGGTAGCTAGGCAAATAGGTAGATAAAAAGAAGGTAGAAGGAAGGGAAAAAGACTGGACTCCCCTATTAATGTTGTTATTGTTATTGTTGAGTGCCATCTAGTCAGTTCCTAACCATAGCAACCCTGTATGTAAGATTTATAAGGAGCCACTGGTGAGCTTGATCTGCTGACCCTGCAGTTCCAACCGATTTTGCAATCCCAGCCAACTTTGCAGTCCAGCTTATTAACCCACAGCATCACACCAGGAGTCACCCTATTAATAGGGCTCAAAATTAACAAGTTAAAACAAATTAATACTGCCAAAGTATTTGAAAGTTTAGAAGAACCTGATAAGTGTTCTTTCTTAAGTTTCATTTAAAGTTTATTGTCAGTAACCTTTTAAAAATGTCATTTTGGACATATCAAGGGGCTTCAAAAAGTCTGTAAAAATTGCATTATCCTTTCATTCATTTTCTATGAACTTTTTGTGACCCTCTTATATATTTCTGGCAAATAGGAAATTAGAAAATTCCCATTAAAAGCACCTAGAGGCGCTTGATAAAATATAATCAACAACTTGTAACTGTATAACAAAGTTCTCAAGAAAGTAAGTGACAACCGGAAGAAGAAAAAAGAGTTGTTGTTGTCATGTGCCATCGAGTCGGAACCGACTCATAGCAACCCCATGCACAGCAGAACGAAACAATGTCCGATCCTGGGCCAACCTCACTACCGCTGCCACACTTGAGTTCATCAATGA